CTGGAGCCACAGAAGTACCACTGGGGCCACGGAAGTACCACTGGTGCCACGGCAGCACCATAGGAGCCATGGCAGTACCACTGGGGCCACAGAAGTACCACTGGGGCCACAGCAGTACCACTGGGGCCACGGCAGTACCACTGGGGCCATGGTAGCACCACTATTCCATGTTTTATCATCTTTTTTAACTGTTCTGGATGATTTGTGACTTTCCAGTTCAGTGGGACTGGCCCTGCAATTTTAGCTGGAGTGAGTTTTGGTTAAAATGCTTTAGGTTCAAACATTATTCCCTAACAATATGTGTGTAAAGAAGAATTGGATGATGTAAGGCGAGGCCTGTACCTCGGGGGACGGAAACCTGATGCATGCTGGCCACAGCCTGCCAATGGGCATACAGCCTCTCCTCGTCATTGTCCTCCATTGGCTCAGAATTTTGTGTGACATCATCCAAATACTCATCTTCCAATTCGGCGAGATCTTCAATGGAGATTAGTGCCATTTTTTGCAGCTAAAGGACAACTGAAATACACCAGAAAGACCAGAGAGCTAATTACTATTAGTAACCATTCTTGCAGACTGCCTAAATAACATTTCACTGTGAAAATTGGCTGCTGTATGTTGAGAACAGACCAAAATATCAAAATACTGCATACTTCCAATGCAAGTTTTTCTTATTTAAATGCATTACACAAAGCTATATACCGTCATATGACAACTTATTTGAATAGACGAATCTCGGATATTCGTTTCAGAAACAGAGGAATATTACTATGAATTTCTTGTGTGGAAAAATTAGTACCCCTACATTCATTGCTAAATTAAACCTAAAAAATAAAATCAGATGCGCCAAGTAAGGTTCAAAAGATTATGTTTGAAGTTTGAACGTCACACCTTATACAAATAGCTGGTCTTGTTTGATGCTTATGGGTCTTGAATGGCATGTAAAACCATTTGCAAACTTTTTGAAATCATACGTTCCACTGTTCACAAAACAGTGAAGCCAACTGTGAAGCAGTGC